ATTGTGGCATTTGATTTTTCGATCGCTAGTGCCTCAGCTATGTTCAGCCAGATGCTTTGGTTTTGCCCCCATTGAGAGGTTTGTTCGGATCTTTTATATGAATTTGAAGGACTTCTCAAATGGAGATGAATGTCCAGAATTCACCAGGTGTTGTGTTACCGAACTATATTAACCTTTTTCGTTCTCCCTTTTGCTAACCCTGCTGGATAGTGTTCCCGAGCGCGTTTTACAAGCAGAAAAATGTTATGGCCAATGCACTCAGCTCCACACGACCAAGTGAACTGGTATATGCATCCTGAAGTGGCTCAATGCTACAGCTTGTCTTTCACACACTGCTTGAATAGTTACTTGCAGAAAAGTGTTACTCGTAGGCTGGTGGCGGAGTATGACTTACTGAGAGATTTAGAAAGCCGTCTACAAAGGAGTTCTGCTTCAGTACCACTTTTGAATTCTAAGTTAGTCATATGCATCTTTTGGGGGGCGAAATGGAAATTTCCAGTTGTTTTTTTCTTTTTTCGGTTATGGATCCTCACCTATGAATGTGAGTGAAGGCAAACCATTTTCTATCAAGGTTCCCTCGAGATTCCACAATTCTTCATCACCTGACTCCTTATTGCATGATTTTCGGATCCTCGAACAAAGAGAGAGTGGAATATACGTGATTTCTCTTTCTGCCTACAGGAACACAGTTTGTAAAGTTGATAGACATATGTGCTTTCCGTAGATGGATCTTCTCAACAAAATATTTATTTTTACTGCGACTTGACAAAAAATCTCACGAACTTGTGTAGCTACACTGAACAGGAATACAGTCTCTCTACCACCAACGTTGTACAATTATAAGATGATTTCGCCAAATTACTTAGTTTTAGGAAGCTTTGTATTCACACTGGAATATGGCACATAATGCCTAACAATATTAGGGTGAAATAGTAAGCCTTATCTTACACAAAAGGATGAAACCAACGGACAAACTAGATATCGTCCACCCTGTTGCCTTCCTGCGTTACAATTGATAACACCTATGGTCAAGCTTTAGGCTCACCGTCTATTTCGTGCACCTGTCTTATCTACGTTGACAAGGCGGTGGTTCTTGGTTGAGTAGGCTTTAGGCAGCTCCCTCAGTTCCTTTTTTCTATCACATTTATGTATCGAAACCTATTGCACCTACTTGGACGGAGCGATACTCAAATTTTCACAGCTTGAGTTCACTCTAGCGTGAGAGTGGCTTCATGAAATACCTATTCGAGAGGACTCAGCGTATTTGGATGGTTGATTTTATGGAGGATGGAAATAAAAGACTGATGGATACTCTTGTTGAAAATAGATGGACATCCTTCAAAATTGTTGTACAGGTGTAGAATTCATTTGGTCTTAAAACCTGCAATCTATTCCGGACCTAAGACAGATGTCCTCATCGATTTACCATACAACGGCGAAATAAATAATAGGATTTTGAGACAGAGATTGAACTTGGTCATCCGTAGGACCGATTATGCACTCCAGCTTGTAATCATCGAAAAAGCCAGAAGTATGTTCCATCGCGAACCTCAGAAGTGAATAAGTGATTATGTCAATTTCATCACGATTTACCGATTTACGTGTGTGTGCGTGTGTGTGGAAACACACGCATAGGCAGGATTAATGGCGCTTTGCATGTAAGAGTGGGAAGGCATATTCCGAAATGGTGAGAAAGACAGATGAACTTCGTCAAACTCGATGGAAGCGAGTGGTAGCCTATCGAACATCGAATCGACATGAATCATAAAATAGCTGATTCTAACACAGCTTTTAGAGTCTATTGAAATACGCTGAGAGCATAACACTTCATAAAATTAAGCCCCTCTCCTGTGTGTTCATAAACAATTTATTATTGCTCTGAACCTACCTTTGTAATCCTTATCTAATTTGATAGGCAAACGTTGTGTTTATTATTCTTATTATGCTTAAATGTGTTTTGTCACTTTGTGTACTTCAATTGGCTTTTATGTTTTCACATAAATTGACTAGACAAGTAAATGTGGGTATGTGTGTGTGTGATCAGAGTGTTATTGAGATAATCCCCGTCTTCTAATAACACCATGGAAAGATTTTTCGCTGTTGACTTCTGTTTTCATGTAATGAAATATATGTTTCATTGTGGAGGATGATGAGATGTGCTCAGAGGTGTGAGAGAAATATGATTACTATAAAATTCCTACAAACAAATGAGGCACAACGAATGTAAATTCGAGGGCTTACAGTTGACAAGTGTCATGATGAAAGTGAAGAGGTTGAATTGTGAACTGTATTCAAATACTAGAGACATGATATGCGTTGTGTGATTTACGAAGGTTGACACATATTAGGGATACTATTGGAGTGAAGTGAACTGGGTGAAAATGAATAAGAAAGGCCTCATATGATGGTTGGAGGACTTCATCATGAGTTGACTTCAGCCAGAGAACCAATGGGAAACCACAGAGTATTGGACAGCTGATTCATCCTAATTCGGTAGTCATCGGCATTACACACTCGCTGAGGTCTGTAACCATGACCTTCCGATCACAAGGCAATCTCATTTACCATTCAGCCACTGGGACGCAATTCAACGGCCCATGAATTCCAACTTCTTCCAATACTTCGAAACGCATAATATGATGATTGTGTCCCTGATAACATTGTAGTAAGCTGGCGTAAGCGAAGAGTATGAATGTGCTGTTTTGCACACATAGGTCAGGTTTCTTCTTAATCATCTGTACAGCTTCAACAATGTCTAGGAGGTGTATACCTACTCGATATACAACCGTGAATGACTTTTATTTTGATGAAACGTATATTCTCTTGATTAGAAATGCATAAGTATGTCATTCAAATCACATCTAATCTTTGCAATTTTAATAATTCGATTCTCGACGAGAAATTGTTCTAAGACCTTCTCACTCACTTACTAGAAATACACGAATTCACCGCCTAGTTGACGATGACTGAGTCGAGAAGAAAATTCTCATCACTGCAACAGCCTTTTCATTGATTCCCATGATCTAATATGCAAAAAAATGTGGAAAAAATAATTTAAAAGTGAGTGTGTCTAGTAAAGTTGTTTGTTTCTAAAAAAAGAAACGACTCACACAGTTAAGGAAGTAGAATGAGTTCTTCCCCAAAAATGTTTATGAACACTATTACTGTCATGGATTTGTTTGAATCGTCCAGTGAATAAATACTAATTGGACAGTCAGTGAGGCATCTAATTTAAGTGGTACGTGAATACATACACACTCAATTGGAAGGAAGCCATTATAGCTGCAATCAGCCATGAATTCGATTCCGGTTTAGCTGTACGATATTTGGAGAATGCTTGATAGTACATGGTAACACTGAGTACTGCACACACACAACTGGAAAAAAACAACAGAAAACAGATAGGCGAAATAAGACAAGTGAGCAATGCTTTTTATTAGATAAATGAGGCTACACTGATTAACTTAACTTTAAAAAATATCAACTTCATGGTGGAAATATTTACGCTGAAGTGTGACTATCATGCTCGACGCTGTTGATGTTAATTATGAGGTAGGGAAATTATCCAATAGTGATCTGTGCCTTCTGAAATAATTTGAGCAATGAAATAGGTCGGTAGATAGATCTAAGTGAATATAAGAGGTTTTTTTATTCTTAATACCACTTGGTGAACAAGATACGTTGCTGAATCACCTTCACTATTCACAAATTAGTAAGTAATTGACAGTGTATACAGTTCAACAGAAGGAACAATTCACAACAGTTTTTGTCAAGGAACTTAGCCCTAAGTTCCTATTGTAACGAAGGCGGTTTGAACCGATAATGACTAAGCGTTTGTTTCAACTCCGGATGACACTACATTTTTACATAGATTCAATTGACACTGCTAACTATCGGACTGTATCATTCCATCTTATACATCTACGCCAATGCAGACAGTTTCTGATATAATTTCCATTCGCCTTTACTGGCCATTTGTATTCTAATTTTTCATAGATTTATAACTCTACAGCCCGAGGAAGAAGTTATCGATAACAATATTTCCCTCAAAATCATCTTGCTTAGATTCACGTAATTGCAACTTCAGTTATTGTACTGTATGTTATTCGAGGTGGTTTCATCTCTCCTCAATGCAGACTATAGGAAACCAGTTGAATACAGAATGTGACAACAGGTTGACTCTGGGAAGTTCAACGAACCAAACTAGTGGGAATAGATTAAATTATACCGAAAGTAAACAAATCGCTTGATTTGTCGTCTTCAAGTTTCCTTGTTGTCGAATTGGTTATTGTTATCGTCAGAGCAGAGGCCGAGAAGGATGAATCCTTCACCAATATTTCCGTCTTACCTACTCTTACAGTGAATAATGTGATGCGCGAAATACAGTAGATTCAGGTCACAAACGATTGAGAGGACAAGTAGTTGGAGAGAGTACAGATATGACAATCAGACAGTGACTTACTACCTGCACAATTTCCTCATAACATTCAGTGTCAAGTAGAAACAAACTGGAAGGTGATAGTCAAGTTCTAAGTCTGAATGAGGACACACTGACAAGGCCTTCAACCTGAAACCAGTCGGGTTTGATTAAGAGTTGCTGTCTGATGTGACAACGACAAATGACGTCCATCAGGGATGTCTCGTTTCATAGTTCACATATAGTTTCACCATGGAGGTGATAACAGCTGTTGTGCTGCAGCCCTCCGTGTATTCCACTCGGAACCGAACGGAATCAAAGTAACAATAGTGATAATAATAATAATCTGGCCTGTCCCCAGTTTAAAATGTCTGCCTGCTATCTGCCTTCATCTAATCAGATAGTGAGTTATTTGAGTCGATAAATTCTATCGATTTTCATTTTGAAAATATCGTTTAGGTGTTCAGTAAGTTGTTGTTATGACTAGTGAATTTCTTGTGTGTAATTAACTGACTGACAGACCAACTGACTGACTGAATTACTTATTGATGAACGTATTCATCACATCTTCCTTTGTTATAAGTGTTTTATGCCTCATTGAAGTGACAAATGCAAATCGAGTGTGCAGACATACGAAAGGATACAGACGAGCTGATTATTATGCCCCTTATTTGAAAGACGCTTACAGAAAATACATTGCGTATCATCACCACTGGGAAGATAATCAACCATACGAATTTGATTTGAAAATTGAAAATGGTGCACGACCTTATTATGTTTCCCTAGAACGAACCGATGTAAAATCACTATGGTGGGAATGTCATCTACCAAATGGTGGTTGTTGCAGGTGGTGGGGATCTGAACATCTCGACGACAGTTGTATTGCCAAATTTTATTCGTCTTGGTCCAAATATTATCGCCTATGGGTAGATACGAAATATATTGATGTGAACAAAGCTGTATTAATAGTATTAGTAAACACCCCTGAGGGTAATGTTTATTATTTTCAGCCGTTAACACATAATGTTAAATCGTGCAGTGAAATAGCCTATAGACCGATAAAATTACATTATGAAATTGATGGAGGATTTGTGAAAGACTCTTCAGGAAATATACTCTACACTTATATACCGGGGCACAAAGCTACACAGGTCTATCATAAAGATGAAATACTTAGTTCTCCTTTTAAAATGCTACGACAAGGAACATTGTACATTGAATTTAAAATATTTTTGCCACGTGGATTCGAGATGCAGGCATACTTCTTTACAAAAAATAGTGAAAAAGAATGTAATCCTCCGAGTTATTTGAACCTGCGCAATATTTACGAAGCAATAGGATTCACCGAAGGTGTACAGATGATATGGAGATACTGGGATTACTTAAAAATAGCATATATCACTTGTCGGATTAATCAGCCAGGAATATTGCTGGTGTACACAACCACGACACAAAATATGGATACAGTTAGAGACTATTTACGTCACCAGATTTTTATTCTCTACGATAGAATAAATGAGAAAGAATTCGACATTTACTTAGATGAAGATCTCGACACAGATTATAGACTATTTGCAGTAAATTGGAAAGAAAAGATTTATCACGACATTTCAGAAACAATTTCATTACCTGTACCAACAGGGACAACATGCCAGCCTGCAATGAAACCAACCCAACAACATGCAGATTTATCAGTTTTGAATATTCAAACATTCGTTGATTTACATGTGGGATCAGCACAGACTAAAACAGCACCATATTATCAATGCACAAGGGAAAGTGATGGCAAAATTTATCAGCATTATTATCGAATTATTGTTCTGCCGACATTCAAAAGTGTTCAAATTAACATCACAATATTACCCAGTGAGACGGATAACTATTTCTATGATGTATTCGGTAGTCCCGTTGTGAGGAAGGCATTACGTATCATAGTGAACTGTAACTTCGCACTAGTCCATTCAATAATTCACAATCCTGATATTTCATTCACTTACACCAATATCGATGCTATGAAACAGACAGTCAGTCAAGAACTTCCTTACAAGGTGTACGGCACACATGTCAGAGAAATGAATGACTACGACTGGCACACATATTCCTATGAGATACACAGTCAACCAATTCTACACCAAGTAACGCATCAGAACATCACATGTACACATCATCATCAAGTATTACAATTTCATGAGTTCGAGACGAAGATCGATGCTTCGAAAATTCGGTTGTCGCAGTCAATGGAAATACTGACGACATGGGTTTTAACACCAATCATCGTTGATCAGTCGATTGTGACCAACAATGAACAAGTGAATGAATTCTTCAGACGAAATTTGATCAATTCCAGAGGGGTTCACCGCTTCCTCCAAGAGGAATTCATTATCCACATCAGTGTCGGTTATTTGAATGGCACATTTCTTGGATTGATCGATCCGGTCGATACTTTGTCTCTAGTCTGGCTACTCCAGTATAGTCACAGAAAAATATACAAGCACGATTGTGGCCTGACAAAATCCAGATATTCGAATGAGCAGTTTGCACGTGTATATGGCTCGAAGTATCCATCTGCCAAGGGTTTGAGTGCATTCCAGTTCAATTTCTCTTGTTGGGTACAGCCAAGTCACATAGGATTGGCTTTCGCTCTGGTTAATACTGATCCAGATCACACGAAAGGACTGGATGCAGTGGAATATTTCACCAGTTCCTTGCATAGAGCTGTGGAGAGTGTGCTGAACAAAGAGAAGTCTAGCAGAAGTACGCCAGAGGTGAAGTCGTACTCCTCTGCTACTGACAGGATTATCCGACTCAGTCTGTGTTTGAAGGTCGCCACGAAACTCCATCAGAATATACATCTCCAGCTAACTGTATATCAGCGGCAAGTGGGAAATATGAAGTGTTACACACAGTCACAATTTGGTGAGGAGAAGAGGAGAGAGTTGGATGGCACATTCAAGACGACATACATTCCTTCAGACAGTGTTGTTGTGATTGATAAGAAATCGGCGGAATACACAGATTCGGGGGTGTATTTCTGCTCATCGAGAAAGTGTCCATCATGCCCAGCAGTTGAAACGTCAAAGGTGTCTCTCGAAGTCATTCCTCCTGGAAATCAGGGCATACACGTGTTCTTCACTGATGATGTGCTTGAGATTCCTGACTATGATTCTGAGGCATTTAATCAGACTACTGCCAAACAGTATCCAACTGTCAAACCGAATCAACACAAAGTAGTCTACTGTGTCTACAAGTTACCACGTAACATAAGTTACTCTCAGAGTGTAAGATTCACACACAAACCGCCTCGTGGAATGCAGCTGCTACCTTCACCTGTCCCGGTCAAAAAGCTTTCACTAGTTGAAGAGATTCAGTGGACTCATTCCATGAGAGTGAGAGCTGCCACCGTTCCATCTCACGGTCTGTACTACAATGTAACTTGTGAGGTAATCTTCAATCTCAACTGTACTAACGACAGGAGAGTCATACTGACCAATTACGAAACTTTGCTGATAGACACTCGAATAGAGCCGAAAATCTTTTCAAATTACATACAGACGACAGTGAGGAGTGTAACTGAGGGACTGAGGAACGCACCCGTATCTGATGTGAACAGTAACAGTTTTGAGGAGAATAAGATGAAGGAACCAATTCTGGATAGACCATTGGAGGTGAATTTCATCTCACGAATCGGTCCTCCAACGGGATGGACGAATGTTTTGTTGATCAGTAGATATGGCAATAAATACATCGCAGATACATGTGTTTGTTTCCATCACGAAGAGCTAGACCGACATTCTGGATTTCTGAGCAAGTATTTAACTGAAGACTCGCGTCTGACTGATGGCAAGAATTTCTACAATCAGTCATATTTTTGTGCAATCCAACCGGAAGACGCCGCACTAGTGCTCGTTGCGTTCACCATCTTCCGTGGTCAAATAGGAAACGAAACAGCCTTAGAGCGCTTCACGAAGTTCGCTGTGAGTTGGGTTGAAAATCATATGTTTGGCAAGCCCCAGAATGCGCATTTCACAGAGAATACCAACGACTATTTGTTCGACTACCGCGTTCTTCAGTTGAATGTGAAGTATAAAGCGATATGGCAGACGGGTGAGAATTTAAACTTGTATTGGAGGGCGCATACTCCGACCTATGATCACAATCTGCATATTGAGACGTTTCTAAACGTGGATTATAAATATGTTGACTGTATGACAGTTCAACGGTTGACGTTGAAAACGTTTGAAGCACTTCGAAAAGATGTACGACATATATCCTCCGGTTACTACTGGGTCACTGCTCATAAATCAAGAGACTCACCTGTAGAATGGTCGTCTCCTAGAAGAACAATAATTGTCTTACCCGATCAGTCATTGCACAATATTCATATCACACATGAGAATATCAACCCCACTTCCACACATCCTGCTTCAGTCGTATTCAATCAAACATTCAACAATGGTAGTGTATACGCCTACACTGGACAGAGCTTGGTTATTCATTGTCTTAGCGATTACAAAGACAACGCTTACATTGTTAGACACGTGAAATTCGAATATCAAATCATCAGCGAACTGACAAAGAGTGTAATTCAGGATGTTCATGATAAAGCTAGTCAAATATTCAGTGGGTATGGGCACTATACTCAATTTGTAGCCTCTTATCGAATTCGGATACCTGATAATATACAGAAATCGAATGACTACTCAGTCTTATCTGTGAAGTGTAGTCAGATATATCAGGTGAATTTCGATCGGCTGGAGTATGCAATGAGATACGACATTAGTTCCACACATCAGTGGCATAACTCACTGACGATTCATGTTTTGTGCAAATCTCAACCGATGCTGTTTATGCACAAGGCTGAAACACAACCTGAGTCGTGGCTGCCATTACAAACATCGATCAGACAGTCGAGAAACAACTATTCTAATGAGTATGAATTCAATCGAAGTGCATCGGACGTTCTAATGCCAGAAGGTGTGTTCAGTATTTCTTACGCACTTAAATTGGGTTGTCCGAGAGGAACAACCTATGTGTGGTCAGTGTATCGTAAGAATGAGGATGACAACGGTAAGAAGAAGAAGAAGACGTGGACACTCTACAAAGAAATGTGTCATGAGATCGGGAGTATGCAGAACCTGTCACCAGACAAATATGGAAATACGCTTCAGCATGCATCATTTCAGTGCGTCATGAGGCCAGAGCATGTATCACTTGTTTTCGTAGCATACAATGTTTACTTTAGAACTGTGAATAAAACAGCAGTTAGGAAGATTATAGAAGATGCTGTAATCAAGCGCATTGAAAATATGTTGAACAACCTTGCTGGAGATGTGTCTCCGCCATATGGAATTTCTTATGATTATCGATACATCAAACTGAACATTGGTTGGTACGCGACAGTGACTTTGAATTCTACTGCTAAGATGTTGGGAATTCTACCGGTGGTGAGTAATGCTCAGACTGAAGTGAAGTGTTTCTATCAAGGTCTTACAAATCATCCACTGACTGAAATGAAGAAGGGCGTGACGATCAGTTTGCAAACACCGTCACACAGTTTCATTATGTTAAAACACAATGTCAGTTTGCAAGACGCAGGCTATTATTCTTGTAGTGTACTCAACAAGCAGACTGGTGACTCGTACACTGGATTCACGCGTCGGTTCTTATTTGTCATTCCAGATGCAAACAGTGTGAGCATTTACCTGAGTTCCACTCTCCAACTGACAAGCCCTCAGTCAAGTCACTTGCACACTGAATACTCCGATAAACAGGAAATCATGCTGAAGCCTGGACAGACAATATACGTCTCATGTTCATGTGAACGTTACGCCTCAAAGTTTGCTGAGACTGTGTGTGAGTATTCTCAAGTACTTCATGACGAGTATACAAATAGAAGCCAACCACTTCCGCTTCAGTTTGTAAACAGGAAGACGTCTGAAGTCAATGCTTTAGTGATAGATACCTTCACATACAGAGTGAAGGCGCCAAAGCCATTGGATTATGTCGGTCCTACAGAAGCTAGTTGTAAACTGGTATACAAAAGTCTGACACCTCTACCCAACGATTTGTCCACACCCATGGAACAACTGCCCATGTTTACGAAAACCAAATGGATATACTCTCAGAAACAAGTGAGACCACACATATTCCGTCAACTCACTGAGTGTACAGATTCCAGTCTGCAAAACACGATTCAGGATTCATCGGTTGGGGAGAAATCATCGACTGGAGGAAGCGGCTCGAGACTACTCTCAGCATGGGAACACGTGGAGAGGTGTAAATTATTGGTGATGACTGGAGACCCTCCAGGCGAAATCCTCATCTACACTGTGTATCGAGCCAGTGGAAACATCGATCTCGATGCTGAAAATGACAAGCAGAGTGATGATGTGGAGTATTCTGCAGAAGCCTGCAATATCAAGTTGGTGAATACTGAGGATAGGCCCAGTCTTCGCACGGTGATTAACAAATCTCCAGTTCACAAACAAACTCACTCAGGAAATCTTTTCAATCTCACCGTACGATGCGTTGTGCGACAGGAGCATGTAGCGCTTGCATTTCTCGTATACAACATTCACAACAAGAATCAGACAAGTGATGAGGACGTGAGGACACACCTTAAAGCTTCTCTGGTGAGAACGGTTAGAATGTGGATGGGGCGAACGGAAGCGTCTTCCAATGTGATTTCCACGCCTAGTGGATCGCTGCTAACACATATTCTGATCAAGTTGAACATCACTTGGAGAGCACATGTTAACATTGGATCCAGTGTGCATATGCTAGGGAGTCTAGGAAACAGCAGTCAGCCAGAGATAAATTGTACCTATCAACGAAATATGTCCAGTAGTCCAACAAGACTACCCAGTGGTTTCCGCATACAAATTCATGCGGACGATGCAGCGTTTAGTGTGGTGAAGCAATCTGCCTCATTCACCGACTCAGGTATTTACGCATGTAATATCACTGATACTGAGTGCCAAACTTGTCAAACTTCACCCGGATTCACCCGTCGTCAACTCACTGTAATTCCCGATGAAAGCACGCTGTTCATCTATGTGAGCCGATCACGCTTGTCGTTCGATGGGAGCAACAGTGATGACAGGATGAAAGTAGTCCAACGCCTCAGACAACTAATACACCCTAACGAGAGTAGTCATGATGACATCAATGACAAGGAGCGAACTACCCTACTCTTGTTGGACGAGATCCACTACGTTCATTGTATCTATGTGTTGCCATACACAGACATTGGTGAACGATTCATCCAATTCACATACTCATCGACATCTCCCGACGGATCACATCGAATACCACTGGACTACAAGAATCACTCGAATTTCATCATCGATGAAGCCTTCTACATGATTGGTGTGGAGATATTCGAAATAACCAGTCCATACATGGATAAGTATCTTGGCCAATTAAAAGTCGAGTGTGAGTTGAAAATTCCGAAACTACTCCCGCCCACACTGT